CGTGTCACTCGAACAACGGTGGTAGCCTGGAAAGGTCGATGCGCTATTGGATGGGCAGGCGATAATTGGGTGGAGAAAACGCACCGGGTGAAAAAAGACAACACCCAGCTTGCTACACCATTACAAGATTTACCACCGAGACTTAATACAGCAGAGAACAAGTGTTGTTGTTAAAACGTCAGGTATAGCTGATAGAACAACTGAACTTTATCAGAAAGTTTAATACTACAAGAGGAATCACCAGGTAAATACACTGACCAAAATGTCAAAGGGCTTTGAGTATGTACTCTGAAGAATGTAGGTTAAGGGAATATCGGGAGGAAACCCGGAATTTCATTATTTAGCAATCTGACTCAAACGTCAAGGGCATGAGCTGGTTAGTTTCGACATTACTCAAGCACTTAATCAATAATCCTAGTACTTTTAGTCATTGAATAAAACCCCTTCTAATGGAGATCTTATGTATCAATCAAACAATCGATGCTGAAAACCCAGAAGCACTGTACGGCCAAGAAACGTTGCTCATCTCACAAAACTCCGGAATTTCTAACCCGCGACCCCGTTTATTTATCCAAAAATTATGCATTCGTTCACAAGCAGCTGATAAACACTACAACTAGTGCTGAGCTAAAGAGCACAGTTTTTATATAATTGAGGTCTTTGGTCCTTGTAGAAGGAACAAAGAACAGTACCAGCTCAAAAACGAACTTTATGTGTACGCTGTTCAAATCTTCGTTCATCGCCAGCCTTAGAAACAGCAAGTTCATTCAAATCCACTCCATCTGAACCATTCATTTTTGGCGGAATGAACTCTAAGATAGAGAACCTGATTTACTGCGTGATGTGTTCAACCCGATGATTGGTCTTCCTTAATCGGTGCATTGATGAGAACTTAGACTACCAAAGCAGTAGTAACTTTTACTGTAAAACCAGTAGTATTTCAGCCCCAAGGAAAACGGATACCACGTGATAGTTTACCGAATTCAACCCGACAGTCTTCTGGATTTCCCGATCTGTTAACATGTCCTGTGCGCACTTACGAGTCCAGCAGCCTGACCAACTAGAAGCATTGCTGCATTCCTTCATTGAATATTTTAAGGCGATTTCGCTTAGTTTTCCCACCATGAACACTGACGTTGAATGTGTGGTGGGTCGTATGTTTGCGTACACTTTCCTTGAGTTGCTAAGCGGTCAATGCTGGACATGCCATATTAGCTATCATCTCATATTTAATTTTAAGTCGGCCGTCGTGGGTTTACAGCACCTATTATTCGTCAACTTATAAGCCTCACTGTACAGATTACTTAGTTTTGTATCAGCTGATATGTCAGGCGTTCTGGTGGTGTTACTCATTGGCTAACCAATCAGGGATTACTCTTCTCGCATTGATGGACAACCACACAAAGAGTGATGTGCTCGTGTCGTTTATTTAACCAGCAGTCGAAGACAAGAAATGCCGAGTAGTCCTTGAAACAACCTGTTGGTTTCCATGTGGGTTAGCACGACATGCTTGACAGTGGATGGATTGTGACGGTGGAATTTTCACGAAAATATATTAGGCCTGCAGCCAAAAGTCCTGCTTTGACTTCAGTTCCTGTATTTCGGGATACCTGCACACTCCGGTGGTGACCGATATAAGCAGAAAATCAGTATACGAACTATGTATATGGACTTTTTTTACTTTGCAGTATACGAAGGCTTAGTTTGAAGGCAAGCGTACTTCTACAAAGGCCGAACTCGCTTAATGTCGAAAATTTCAAGTGTATTCACTACCGGTGATTTAACAACAAACCACCTGAATAAATGTACTTTTTGTTGTAGACAATAATAGACGCCATTGTTAGAGCATTTAGAAAATTATCAACACGTCGAATCATCTAACTGGCTAAACAATAGTAAACCAATATTTGAAATAAAGCATTTGAGGTCTCTTGACGTCAGAAAGCTATCTAGGAATGTAATCCAATCCCACCTCGATCAATCAAGCTATTCGCGTGCCACATGGACAAGGTGGATCGTTACACATTGCTACCCCAAAATTTACTGTCAAATCAACGCGAGAATGAGTGATGTGTCGATAGATAAACTTCGGCATCGCCGTTTTGTAGAATAACCGGCTATCGTAGCAAATATTTGTCTGTCTACGTGCACGACTCACCGAGCGATTACCATAAGCAATCACAGTACGTTTCTACTCTTGTGTCAGGAATTCTGCATTGAGTGGTTAGGTCACTAGATTCCGGTGAAGCTGAGATGTTGGTTAACCAATCAAGATCTTACCATTGTGAATCAACTCAGCCATTTTTTTCAATTATTGCGCTTTCGATAGGTTGGCATCAATTCATCCCATATTTTTTATGTGCCCTGCCCATCCAGGGGAATTGACTTCCTCAGCATATAAGGTTGGAATTCAAGGGCACTGCAGGAAGTGCCTGTCAACTTCCAGATTCAATCTTGGTTCAGCGGTTTAGCTTGTCCAGGCGTGTCACCCAAATAGCACTAGGTTTTCGGGTTTAAGACTACCTCCAATCCAGCCCGAGTGATTAAGCAGGATATGATGACGCATTGACTCAGCCATTTTTTTCAATTATTGCGCTTTCGGATAGGTTGGATCAATTCATCCCATATTTTTTATGTGCCCTGCCCATCCAGGGGAATTGACTTCCTCAGCATATAAGGTTGGAATTCAAGGGCACTGCAGGAAGTGCCTGTCAACTTCCAGATTCAATCTTGGTTCAGCGGTTTAGCTTGTCCAGGCGTGTCACCCAAATAGCACTAGGTTTTCGGGTTTAAGACTACCTCCAATCCAGCCCGAGTGATTAAGCAGGATATGATGACGCATTGACTTTTTTTATCTAAACTGTACACCTGAGTAACTTAACCAGCAGATGCGCACCCTCTAATTATAAAGTCGATATTTTCTCAAGAGGTCATAAAACAGCAGTTTCAGAAACCGAAATAGGCCAAATTAAAGGCTAGTTAAAGCGGTAAATGATTGTTGTTTTCCTGGTCTGAATGCCAATGCAGCACCTTCATTCTAAACCAAAATCATCTCAACAAGATCATAATAATATTCCGCCTCGCATCTGTTCATTATGAAAATGACCAATGAGCACTACAACGGTGTAACGCTCTGTTTTTTGGCTATATAATGTAAGTATCATCGCTTAATCCTAGCGAGTGCATGCTTCCTTGTTTTGCCTGGAATAGCCGCCCAGTAAACAATCCTAGCAGATCACCCATGCTTGGGTCATATTCAGCCACAGTGAGACAACGAAATTTGACCGATGTAATTGAAAGGCTGTGCCTCGTTTCTGGTCCTAGTAGCTTCCTTGATCTCAGACAGGCGTCCTTCGAGTAGCACGCAACCAAAGAAGACATCTGAACCTCACTTTAGTTATTTGTCTCACACGATGAGGACCAATCAATGGAGCATGCGTAACGGTTTCATGACTGGCTTTCGTGCTCTTGAAGTTCTTATCAAGAGGCCATTATTCCTACAGATGACGTCGGACTGGTATAATACAATGATGCTGTCACACAGCATTTTCATTTCAACACGGAAAACTAATAAACTGTCTCATTTCGAGTCAATCACGTTCTAATAAGGTTGGCTTGGCCTATTTGTACCACAGGCTTAAGGCCTCCAAATTCAGGCCTCTTCCAAGGAGATTTTACAGCAGGGATTCGCACCCCATTTTACAAGATTCCCCATCCTTTAAGAAGTAACTCCCACTCCGCTGGATAATTCGCCACTCCACCCATCGAGGGGCCATAGTACAATGAAAAAGAGAAGTTAATCTTACGATGTCTGGGGTAGTAGAACACTGAACGGCTATCGAAACCTAGTTATGCTACATGAACAAATTCACACATAACTTCAGAATGCTCTCGATGCTACCCGAAAAATGCCATCCTTGTCCTCAGATTGTGATGGACAACATTCAGCTAGAGTTCGTTCTTCCATTCTTCGGCTTTCGATTCCGCAGTCAAGTACCAGGCCACTGTTGCATACACATCACCTGATGGTTTCATCGGACGATGTGCTAAATGCTGCTGGAGGAAGCATACAGATAATCTTTCAAGTCAAGGTAGATTTCGGTCGGACTTTTATCAAAAAAGCCTATTGCAGAGTCTAAAAGGACGCTCACACCAAACTACAATGCGAGCTGTATTGTTGTACGGCTGTTAGATTTGGTCACTTCGGGTGGAGGGTCTGAAACCCCGATGCCTCAGAAGCATAACTAGAGCTGGTGGAAAACATCGAATTCGAGATGTGAGCAGAAAAACGGTTTTTGAAGAAGTAGATTTAGGTCTTTTACAAAGAGAGGTCACAGTGAGAATTCCGCTCCCGATTTTACAAGATTTCGAAAGCAGTAGACATTTTCAGAACCAAATATAAATCTTTTGCACAATGTTACGATCAGGAATTACCACTACTGAAACCAAGTGTGATACAGATAGAGATTTCGATAAGTGCGTTTTGGAGCGTGAGACCGAAAAAAGCCCAAAACTTCAGGTGACCTTGACTGACATTATCCAGATTATCAGTCGATTAGGAGTAAGGTTATTGAGGATGGCTTGCATTTTGTTGATCAGAGAAAACAAAGTCCGACACACCAGAGAAAATTTATTTTCTGAAAGATCATCTATGGAAGCCAGACTATTTTTGTGCAGTTTTTCCGAAACCTGGTGGATTAATTTTAGATATCATTTATTAACACCTTGAAAAGCTCACTCCCTAGCAAAGTCCAGACACCCCTGTCCGTGATAGCCTAAGGAGGATTATACTACAGAGTGCATATCCAGTCAGGCATACGCGGATTCCGGTAGTATATTTGGTACCCAGCTGTACTCGTTTACGCATAACCTAACCGCATTTTAAGAAAACATTTTGGTCGCAAGAAGATGCTTAACTAATTCAAGAGATTGGCTTAGGTCTTTATACAGGTGTCGTTGAGAGCGCTGACTGCTCTCACGTGTGTTGCACTCCGGCTTTTTCACTTAAATGTCTGTAGATTTTTTCGAAGCCAATGGCATTCGCTCCTTGTTTCCGGAACAGCAAGCGCAGATGCCTCCTGAAATGTCTCCAGGGCGTTCTGAGGTCGTTCGATAAGGCTTACAACAGGAATTTCAAAGTACCAATATGAACTACCATAGAGAAGTAAGGCGTACGCCGCAGACGGCTTCTCACAGCACGGCTCCCTGTTCAATAAAGAATAAGTCTATTGGAAAGCAGAACAATGTGTTGAATTCTGGTTATCTCGGATGCGCTTAATGGCTACCGATCTGTTTGCCTGGAATAGCATCTTTAGGACCCAGTTTTCCCAATTCGTAAAAATACCATCAGTGTGCGGTTGGTCGAATGATGCTGGCGGTACCGCCTTTTCGAAAAGTATATTCATTGCGGAGCTCCTCAAACAACACAACAACGAATCAGATTCTAGCGCCATATTTATCGGTTATATGTGAAAAACAAAATTGCAGTCAGTTCGTTGCGCGTCCATTCCCAAAAGGTCGACAACATTGTTGACAGACAGTTCATGAATACCTGGATTGTTGAAAACTGCAAGAATAGGTTCTTGAAACTGTATATGCTTCCAAAGCCTGGGCGTGGCCGACCCTAAAAACGCAAACTACTACTACTACTACTCTGATTGGGGCTTGTCGTGTGGACGAAGCTCAGTCGTTCACGTGACATTTTGTCTCGAACTTCTTGTTGTCGACCACAACACGAACTGGATGCAGACCACACAAACTAATGAGAGTTTAACTGATTGCTTGTCTCAGCCTACCCAGTAAGTGCATCAGAATAAACGATTACTGATGAAATGCCACCGCGTTCAACAAAACCTTCAACTCCACATTTACACGTTCGCAAACAGTTGATTGAGTTTTTTTGGGAACCAAATCTTCACTTCGAGACATTTCCAAAGTCGTGGGACTTTTAGCATCACTAGGGTAGTAATCACTACAGAGTGAACTAGCTAATCCCTTGTGCTACAAGATATTGGCATCTAGCACGTGGAAGAGAAAAAAACCATCGAGTCTTGTGTCTGCATGACACTTTTTCTTCTATAATTGCAAAGTTTTCTTCAGTGGAGTTGACCAGTGCAGTGCTAGGTGTGTGAGTTATGACAGTTCCGTATGAAGTGGAACGATCATCAACTCGACCAACTAATAACATCGGTAGTTTTTCTGTTGCCAGGACAACTACTAGTGAACAAGAGGCACAATCCTCAGAGAACACAGATGATATTCCCTGAAACACCTGCCTAAGAGCCAATCCAGAGGATAGAGTGAGCAACAAGACTGGTCTCTTGAAGTCCATAGCCTTGGCGCTATTGAGTTATTCACATCATTCATTCGGTTTGCCTTGTTTCCTTTCCTATGTATTCTATCCTGGTGTTGTCCTGAAAAATACAGTGAGGTGTACACTCAGTATCTCCGCTCATTCCTCTGACTCATAAGGCATTTGAAGTGTCCCCGTCTTGCTTAGTTTCTATCAAAATGTGTCAGATCTGTATTGGAGAGTATTGGCGATGAAATGGTTCATCTTCTATTCATGACGTTTTTCTTCTAATCTTCTTTGAGTGGTGTCCATCTTTCTCGAAGATGTCTCGTTTATAAGAAAATGCCGTTCATGAGAAACGGACTGTCAATTAGCTTATATGTGCCGTTATGCGAACGAACAGAAAAAACAGGACTCATAACCGCCCATCTGACAAAAGTTGAATAAACGTGGACTTACAGAATTCGAGATTCTTCTTGCTCTTCCAGTCTTCGAACGCGAGACAATACCTGGTTGATGTGATCCTTTTCTTCATCTGTTAGACACATTTCGTTGGCCTGCTTCTCGGCCTCCGCTGTGATAGCCTGGTTCCGTCGGTTATCAGAGCAAGTCCTACTTTGATCGTCTCCCGTTATCGTAACATCTTGTGAATAGGGAATGGAGCAACCATTGTCATCCAGAGGCTTTCGGTAATTGGTAAGCGGTATACTCGCCGTCTCATAGGAAATGTGGTCACTCGGGTTACCTGGTTCGCCCGACTGACTCAGCTCGTTTCCCATTTTAAAATCCGTTGATACAGGACACACTACTTAGAAACGTTCTATTCTGTCACGTAAAACTCATACCGAATTCTAGACACAAACAATAAAATCCGAAAAATCCGAACAATTTCTTAGTCACATCTTTCTAGTCCTGGGGTTCCTCCTTCCCCGTGTAAAAAACTCCTTCCGAATAAATCCAGAAATTTTCGCGTGGCACGTGGATACGATTGAGTGAAACTGGTATGCATAGCAGATTTCGTCGGGAGTGGATTGTTAGCATGTCCAATCACCGTTTCTTTGACCTTGGACTGAATGATCCTGAGTGGTTGATTTTCGTCTACACATGTCTCTGTCCCGCCCATCGATCCGCATGCCTCTTGCTACTCGTGGCTTATCGCACACCGGTGTGGGAAGAGCAGTGCTCCGTCAGAGCGAATTAGCTTTCTCCGGATGAGGCGATTGTCCCCAAAAGGCAGAGAGCGTGCTCAGGAAATTATCACCCCATTTGTATATAACATACTTATCCTAGTTGTCGGTTCCCATTTATTCCTCTTGACCACAGTGAGTGTTATGATCAGCGATAAACTACTGATGGTGCCAGATACTGGACACAGAAGATAATCAGAAGCATAGGGAGTTCCGGCTTATGACACTATGAGAGAGAACGCAACGCTCGGTAAAGTGAAATGAAGTGGATCACCATGATTGTTTAGACGGGAATCAGCTCATGAGCGAAGCTGTCCGTTAGGTTTACTAATCCGTATGTGTTGAAACGGTGACAAGACAAGGGAGCACCTGCTTCCCAGAGAGAGCAAAATAGAAAATTACGCTCCAAGTCTGTGTAAGCACATGGGCAAGTGCATTTTTCACCACCTAGCTCAAGAAAACCAACAACGTTGAACAACAGTCAATGATCTCGCGCAACTTTGAACGCTCGGATTAGTTCCGTGAGAAGATGCGGTAACAACACAACTGGTTGCGAAAATTTGAAAATTTGCGAAATACACTCATTTGCAAATTTTTTGAGAGACTCACCTGGAACCCAGCTGAATCTCTCGTTTGTGATGCTTCTAGGCAACTGAATGTGCTGAACCAGGCCGCCCCATGTTTCAGCTGCTACGATATTCGAGATATCGCAGTGCATGAATATTCGTAATGCACTACTCATAAAATTACTGAAAATCATTCGAAAGCCCACCACCAGTTTCGCCCTTCTTGAGCCTCATCAGGTAGGTACAGTCCCCGAGTTTCCAGTCATGGGCTGTCGAAAAATTGTCATGAAAATTCCTTTACAGAGCTTTTTTTATGGAGTTTATCTTACTTGAAGCGACACTACTCACAATGGCACTGACGGGTCTGAGAATTTTGTACTTGCATACTGATGTTTCAGTACTTGAAACTCTCGAGTTCACATACACAATTTTCAGCCTTACCCAAATTCACATTGAATAGGACGGAAGCACAGGTTAAATCGTCTAGTAGCGGACCGACAAACCTTACAGAGAACTGAGCCAATTTCTGACCTACAAACTACTCAATAAGGATCATCCAGTTGATGATGGGGATTATTCCTGGGCTTGGTCATAAGTTAACAAGAACTGAATTATTTATGAAATGATTTACCCCATTAACAAGGCTTTCTATCCAGTTTTATTGGAGTGAAATTCCTATTGGGAATTACCTTGCATGTTATGTGCAAATCACTCGGGCGTTTTAAACTATCCTCATGAGGACAAATTTCGCGGTCCATAAGCTCGCTCAAAATTATCAGGAAACTGAGTCTTGAATTGAATAGGACTTTAAACACTCGTTTAGTTCTAGATCACTACTTTAGCAATCAGTGAGCAATATAGGTGAAAAGGTAACAAACTGACTCCTCACAAATGGGTTTGCCGTTTTTTTGACATGATTCCGACACACAAACCGCTATTTTAGTGAATATGGCTATGATCACCAACTTTTTAAAGTCCGTTAACTTTTAATCACACGATAACTTCCTAACATAATCGTATTATTAACGTTCAGAGTTTGAAACCTCACTTGTTCATCAAAGATCACCACTTGAGATTCGATATACCTGACAGGGGAAGTTGCTTAAAGCTATTTACTTCAGAATAGAATGTTTGTTTCCCCCTGCTACAGCGCTTTCACTATCATTCCTACCATCCGAGGTATACTTTGAGGTTCGAATACTACCCTGAACTAAACAAGACCATTCTATACTATCCTACGCTATATTATACTATACTATGCTACACCATACTGTACTATACCATGCTATACTATACTGTACTATGCTATGCTATGCTATACTATGCTATACTGTACTATACTATGCTATGCTATACCATAATATACTATACTAACTATACTACACTACACTATACTATACTATACTATACCATACTATACTATACTATACTATACTATACCATACTATACTATACTATACTATACTATACCATACTATACTATACTATACTATACTATACCATACTATACTATACTATACTATACTATACCATACTATACTATACTATACTATACTATACCATACTATACTATACTATACTATACTATACCATACTATACTATACTATACTATACTATACCATACTATACTATACTATACTATACTATACCATACTATACTATACTATACTATACTATACCATACTATACTATACTATACTATACTATACCATACTATACTATACTATACTATACTATACCATACTATACTATACTATACTATACTATACCATACTATACTATACTATACTATACTATACCATACTATACTATACTATACTATACTATACCATACTATACTATACTATACTATACTATACCATACTATACTATACTATACTATACTATACCATACTGTACCATACCACACTATACTTTACCGTAAAACATTATACTATACTATGCCGTACTATACTATACTATACCATACCATACCATACTATACTATACTTTACTGTACTATATTGTACTATACTAGACTATACTCCAATATACTATTCTGGTGCTCTGCCGTGATAATATTAAAAATAATAGGGATGCTTCAGTTGTAGCAATTTCGGCGCATGACTGCCGTCGCCCAGAGGTACAAAGGTAAGATACTGCCAAGCTGTCAAGCCCAGAGAGCTGAAGTCGAGTTTCGGAGTTGAGACCACGGATCTTCCAGTAAGTAAGCTGGCCCTTTAATCACTGAACTTCCTCCAGTTACCTCTACCATGGTAATTTTACTTGAGGCAAATTATTTTTGTCAAAATTCCCACGGGACTTCCAGCGTGAGACACATTGGTGTCCAACAGCATTGACAGGCCTCCAACTGTTAAAAACCAACTTGTTTTATGATACCCTACTCTGTCAAACGAATGGCCCTCCGTACATCGACTTCCTTCTGTACGATCATAATCACCTCTAGGAATTGGCGCTCATTCTAGTATGGAAATAAAGTGATTCAAAATAATGATCCACTTGAGAACACTCATTTTTGAACCACCACTGTATAGTGACTTCAATAAAACGGTCAATGGTGAGTCTAACGTTAAGATCAATCTAGTTTACAAATGGGTTAAAGCGCATAAAATTTGGCCTTAAACTACGACATAGGATTGGTAGAAATTCGTGGTCCGGGACTATGTGACGAACCTCAGGAAGGATGGAATCAGAAGTAAGTGTTGGTCTCCGTCCACTTTACTACCTTGGATATCATTCATGCGGGAGATGAGACCAAATTTTGGTTGAGTTCCTCATCAAAATAGAATGAACGAATTTCACGAATTTGCGGATGAACATTCATCTATTCCTAGTCAATTTACTAGCTAGTCTTTTTTTACTAAAAGTGAGGTTGACAAAACACCAGGTTAAAGAACGCGAACGCACGGATGTACATGGGGGTATAGCAACCAAACCATTGGTAGAAATCAGTGCAAGAAGAGACGAATTCCTATAAATGAAAAGCATTAGTTTTTAATAAAGAGAAGCTGGTAATCCATATAGGGGTGCAGTCGTTTTAGAGGGATATTAGTCTCATTGTGGGTAATTTAACAAACGAACCATCCAGAGTAGGGGGCGAGTTGGTTCAAGTGGTTAGAGGGCGAATTTACTGACCGGAAGGTCCGTGGTTTGAACCCGACCTCTGCTTCTCGATTTCCCCTGTCTAGGGTTGGGCAACCTGGGAGTATCCAAGCGCTCGTGCTTCCTTAGGGTGGCATGACAGTTATGCACCGAAAGGGTGTTACAGCTGAACGATTATTATTATTATTATTATAACAGAGTATTAGTTGTATTATCTCAGATCTGGATGACTGAAGAAGGAGGATATTGCCACCTATTTGCGGACCTATATGATTGTCGATACACAGTAAATATGTGATTGAAATAAGCTTTTCATTCCAGCCACAAGTTTTCAACCAATATCACTTTACTGTATAATGATTCGGTCTCTTGTAGGATTGCGTGCGTGTGTGAGCAAAGTGTGCAGTACAAATCTGTCGGTCCTCTGAAAACTGACCGACATTTTTCGTGGTTTCCGACGAATGGAACTCCAGTAAGTCACGCCTTTAAATGGCTTAAAAAGTTGAAAACGAACTACTCAACTACTGTGAAAGATGGAAAGCGCTGTATGTAGCAGTGAAATTGTGCAGCCACTGAGAGAAAAGTGGGGGTACGAGTGCGATTTCTTGAATGACAGTAGCCTGTCTTTCTCCGATTCGAGCAAAATACCTTCAGGTCAAAGCTGACACCACCATGTTTCAGAATATAGTATGAAGTACGCAGAATACTGTCACCTTCATGGGTCCAGCAACGGTCTGTACATATCATTTACGATCGGTGACCCTTTCCGGATATTGTCGCCCCTCAGGTATGATCATATTTGATAATACAAAGGAACCTGCTTTATTCTCAAGGATATCAGACAGGCCATGCGCTGTGACATATGTGCGTCAATTCTGTTCGCATTTGTGATGCTGTTGCGCAGACAGCAGGATGTGCTTCGT